TATAACGTGTCACAGGCAACAGATTTGAGTTACTTTTCTTGTTCTGCTCTTTGTATATCTGAATATATTTCCGTCTCTCCTGACCAATTATTTTAGAGTATCTTGCGTATCTTTCAGCAAAAAATATTACCTTGAAATTGTGAATAATGTGAAATCTGCCTGAACATCTGTTGAAACAGAAAAACATCAATATTCCATTATTGATACTTAGGTAATAAAAACTTTACAGTTGAAGATCTTAGTCAAACTTTTCTCATTATAATACTTCAGTCTGGTGGAAACATGTGTTTACAAAATTTAAGTAATAAGTAAACGTTGAGAAATGTATTCTGCTGTTATGTTACATCCACCACTGCAGTATCTGACAAACGCATGACACAGCAAATGAAGTGTGTGCCTACGTTGACATTAACCAACTCCCCTCTTCCTCCTCCTCCTCTTCCTCCTCCCTCTTATGTATCAGGTATCCAACTACATGAACTGGATGGTGCGTAACCTGGCAGACATGGAAGTGCAGCTCGGTTCAGTCAAGAGAATTAACGGGCTGCTCAAAACTGAACCGGAGAATTACGAGGGACTGCTCAGTGAGTGCGGCCACACCTTCAAAGACCCTTCTTAAATTAAACTCCTTTAACCAGTTCTACCAGGAGCTCGATTGTAATTGGTTACTTTTTCGGGCTACACACAAAGCGGCGTCCAGCAATACGAACGCCACGAAGCAGCAGTGTTTCCGCCCTAGTGGCTTTACCTCCGTGATCAGCCAACCGCAATAAATATGTAATTGTTGTTGTAAAATGCCTTTAAAACCAAGGCTGCTCTGCTCTTATGCACTGACGCCGAGACACCAGCGTCTCCATCGGCAACCTGGATATGAGCACCACTCAGTCTCGGTGTTTTATTCAACCTGCCGTGTTATGCTGTAGATGTTCATCCAGTCTTTGTCTGAAGAATCAGCAGTTGTACATTCTCTCTTTGCTTTTATGGTTTTACCTCCGCAGAGTTAGTTTCTCACCCAGGGGGCTTTATTTTTTTGTGAACTTGGCGGCCCGGTTGCAGTCGGACGCCCCGCTGCGTGCACCTGCAGAAATGCCACACTGTCCTTTTGTGATTGTGTGGCCAGGCTTGTGTCACACACCTGTTGAGCACACTAAAAAGGGATAATCACAGGTTGGCTTCGACAATCACAGCCGATCCCGCTCACTCCTTTCACCGTCCCGCCGTGAGGCCCTTTGGGAATCCTAAAAAGGTTTTTATCGCAGCAAACTTATGACCAATGAAATGCTTTTGCTACGAGAGCCGCATTTTGGGACGCGGCTATGAAATATCTTGTGTGTTCTGTGTGATTAGTCTACGAGAAACATCTGTCGTGTTGCTTCTCCCGCTTGCACTGTAATTAAGAACGGGGAGCAGCAGTTCTGCCTTCTAATTAATACTTCCAGTAATCGCTCTTCAGTTTGAGACCGCGTGCAGCGAATATCTGCTGCCTTCATAAAGGGCGACCAGAGCTCATTCAAATGCACTTCAACAAACACAAATATAACTGCGACCACTATTTCAGATGAACATTTAATGTCCTTCGTTTACATTATAAACAGCGTTACTGACTGTCTGTGTTTGGCCACAATTTAGAGCACTGACTGTACATGGTTAAGCCGTGTAATTTCACCCTAGTCTAGAAGTGCAGTTTAAAGTTAGACCATGTTTTCATATAGTGCTAATAAGTCTGTATGTGAAGGGGTAGAAATGTACTGATGTTTCTGCGTCTGTCCCCAGCTGTGTCTCAGGTCCCTGACTGCTGGCCCAAAGACGGAGAGATCAAGATCCAGAATTTGAGTGTCCGATATGACGCCGCGCTGAAGCCAGTGCTCAAAAATGTCAACTCCCACATCCACCCCGGACAGAAGGTATCGTCAAACTGAGGCAGCCTGTGAAACCAAAGACCAACGATGGAATCATTCTGTTAATAATGAGTCGGACTTGTTGGTTTTCAGGTGGGAATATGTGGCAGGACGGGAAGCGGCAAGTCCTCTTTCTCCTTGGCCTTATTCCGCATGGTGGACATGTTTGAAGGTAAAGCAAAACGTCCACGCTTACGTTGAAACTCAGCACATTGAAAAGCTTTCACACGGTAGTCTGTGTTTGATGTGTGGTTCGTTATTCTCTCTCTCCCTTTTTTTTCGCAGGGAGGATCATCATCGATGGCATTGACATCGCCAAGCTGCCTCTGCAGACGCTCAGGTCTCGCCTGTCCATCATCCTTCAAGACCCCTTCCTGTTCAGCGGCGCCATCCGGTACAACGGAACGTTATATTTGGTGAAAATGAAGTAGAGCCGAGTAGGACGTTCCTCTGAAAACGTCCCTGGTTAATTGTAGACTGTGTGATGAAGGCAGCACAGCCGGAGAGAGACCGCAAGACAGCAATGCTCAAGCCTTTGTTGCGTTGGACGAGGAGATAGATGAGGGTACCTTTAAGGGCGCTATGTGATGCCGTCAGACAGAGTGCAGATCAAGGTCACAATGACATTCCTAAAATGTAATGTTGTTGTTGAATAAATGGAATGGCCTTGTCCAGGGTTTAGTTGATAAAACACCATGTAGCTAATTAATTAAGTAATCAAGACAAAAGTCTATTTCTACGTGTTCACGCGCCTGCGTTTGTGCGCGTAGGTTCAACCTGGACCCGGAGATGAAGGCTACAGATGAGATGCTCTGGGAAGCTCTGGAGATCGCTCAGCTGAAGCCTGTTGTTAAATCCCTCCCAGGAGGCCTGGGTGAGAAACATGTGGTTGTTTAAATGTGTGTGTGTGTGTGTGTTCATCTCCCTGGTGAGTCTTCCCTTCTATTGCTCTGACGCAACTGTAGTTTCTCGTTACAACGGCCAGGCTGCTGTATCAGATGCACATGAGTATGAATCTTTTACGTATTCTGTGTGAAGCCACTTCATGCTCGGCTCCCTTCAGGTCGTATTTTTGACTCGGCAGTTGTCAGACGGCAGCGGCGGTCTCATCACATCAGATGTTAGCGGAGCGTAAGAGTCATGTTCCTCTCCAACCTACATACACACTGACCTCGCCTCTGCAGGTTGCTGCTTCAGCTGCTTTAGGTTTGAAGTTTATCCCCCAGGTTTTTTATTGCCTCTGTCCGTCCTTTTACTTATGAAGAAAAGGCAGAGAAAGCATTCGTTACTCGGGTGGAATAACAGACTGCTCGCTTCACATGTCGCCGGATTCAATCAATGTGACAATGACAGATGCGTTTGTGTGTCAGTGTGTAACATGTTCAATGTAAGTTACTCATTGCTTTAGTTAACGTTCACTGGAGCCAAATCTCTGCTAAGATATTGATCTGCACCCAGAGGTTAAGGACTAATTTGTTAAAGTAATTAAGTTAAAGTAACCGTTTAGTGTTGATGTTGAGTGTTGTGGTGAATATTGAGCAGACCAGTTATCCGCAGTGAGTCTTTGTAAGTGAATGGATTGGAATTGAGTTTTTACAATCATACCCTATTCTTATTTTCTCATGCGATGTATAATTTAATTGTAATTTTCTTCATAATAAGATATTGGTCCGTACGAGTTAACGGTTGATGAACTTTGTCTGAAATACTAGCGTAGTGCCATTGTAATGTTCCATGTCACGCATGAAGCAGTCTCTGGTATTAACATTTACACCAGTATACCAAATACATGAATATCACCAGACTAACAGTGTTTATTTCATTCAGATGCCATGGTGACAGAGGGTGGAGAAAACTTCAGTCAGGGTCAGAGGCAGCTGTTCTGTCTGGCCAGAGCCTTCGTCAGGAGGAGCAGCATCCTCATCATGGACGAAGCCACTGCTTCCATAGACATGGCAACGGTCAGTGTCTTTTCATTTCAATTCATGTCGTTTTTTATTTGCTCCTGGTCCATTTATTTAAAGGGTTTTCATTGTGGAAGCAGGAGAGACGAGAGGGGGGAGGAAGTGTGCTTAGTGTGTTAGGGGGGAGAGAACTGAGGAAATAGAAGGGAAATTGCTGGGAGCCTTAAGGGAGTCAGTGTTTTCACATGCAAGACCCACTCAAGGATCATGGGTCACAAAGAGCGACATTTCCAGCATACAATAACGCAGCTGCACCGCCCGCCAGGAAACACGGTGAGGCGTCTAATCAGGGACGAGGAGCGAGAGAGGTGACAGTAATAAGCTCCAACGGGGTTGAAAAGCACCAAGGAACACGTTAACTGCTCAAATTGCTTTTTTTTTTTAAACTTTGCATACCACTTTGTGCTTGTTCTTGATTCTCCGTCATGAAAGTAAATCAGCCTCCCCTCCCTCTGTCCTCACAGGAAAGCATCCTGCAGAAAGTTGTGATGACTGCTTTTGCGGACCGAACAGTAGTTACTATAGCAGTGAGTATCTCCCCCCAGAATTCCACCGGGCAAATTATTCCTGTGTATCTTCCTGGCCCACAACCATTTATTGCACCTCATACTTAACCTACCAGCCAGTGCCATTGGAGTGGTGCTTATCAGTGTAAAAATGAAAGTTTGTGTGGCAAAGCTTTGATTTTTTTTTACTTTTTAGAGTCAATGTAGCGACTGATTCTTTTCCCCTCCGCCGCACAGCATCGCGTCCACACCATCCTGAATGCCGACCTAGTGATTGTGATGAAGCGGGGGATAATCCTGGAGTACGACAGGCCCCAGGCGCTGCTGGACAAGGAAGACAGCGTCTTTGCCTCCTTCGTACGGGCAGACAAATAGCACAAGAGGAGAGGGAGAAGCGTTAGACGAAGCCATTCAAAGTGCAATTGTCCCATCGAAGATATATTCCTTTTATTTTATAATTGTCTTGTATAATATTTGTACATACAAAGTAAATGCTTTGTTAATAAAACATGAATGATCATTAACAAGTGTGGGGTTTTTTTCTGTTGAGCTCAGTCAGAATGACGACTGGGACGACCTCCAAAGGATTTTTTTTGTGCTTGTGTGAATGAAACGCTGTGACGGTTGCGAAATAAACGAGTCATCAGCAGCTCGCGGGTTCAAAATCCGCTGAAGAGTACGCCGTGCTGTCCAGCCAGATGAAGGCAAAGGGCCAGAGACACAGCACGGTGTTCTATATCCATATCTTCTAAGACTCTAAGAGGGGCGTCACGGCGGGGTGAGCAGCTGCAGCCCGAGCTGACGTGTGACGTTAGAAAGTTGAAGAGGAGAACGGCCGCCTGTAAAATAAGCTGTCCGGTGGCTGGAATGGAGAAGAGAAGGAGCCGTGGTGATTTTAAGACTCTGGATGAATAGATAGAAAAGGGCCCACTTTCTATTCATGTAAAGCAAAACTCATCCCCAAACAGCCTGAAGACCACTTAATGTATAGCGCTCTATATTTAACCCATTATATATTCACGGCTGCCTGGGGGCTTTAGTTTGAAGGGTCCCACTCCGGCCTTCTAGTCAAGAAAAAAGAGATGGTGGAGGACAATAGGCCCACCTTACCTCACAACGTCTCCATCTCACGTTACCAAGCTCAGGTGAAGTGGCAGACTCATCACACAGCCTAATGTGCCGCTAAAGCCTGTGCCTTCTGGTCCACGGGGGTGATAAGAACTCAGCCCAGGGGGGCCGCTTGGCTCAAGCATCAACATTTAACATCTGACTGAATTTCCACGGTGATTGCACACGGGGTCGATCGTGGATGCAAGCGGGCAGCGTGGCGCATCCAGTCGGTCTGGGGCCGCTTTGACTGACGGCGGCAGCTGCAGAGCTGGAAGGAGAGAATTCTCCCCCCCCCCCCTTGTGACTGCATGCGCGGTTGTGGAGCGCCTGACTGGAGGCAACGCGAGGAGTGCACATACCTCCAGAAAAATGGGGGAGAAGACTGCGCTCGACAGCTGAGGAGTTGTAAGGAAAGACGCCCGGGGGGAAGAGGAGAGTAATTCATCTTCAGCAGGGCCGAGGAGATCTCTAAAAGCAACACAAACAAAATACTTGAGGGTCCGTATAGCATGGGAGCGCTATGTTGTCCAGGAAAGGACTCATTCCAGAGGATTATTTACTCACACGTCTGGCCGAGGATGTCCTGCAGCCGAAGTGTTTTAAGGCCAAACCGGGGAAAGCACGGTTCGTCACCAAGAACGGCACCTGCAACGTAGCGCACACCAACATCAGAGAACAAGGTCGATTCCTGCTGGACGTCTTCACCACTCTGGTGGATTTAAAATGGCTCCACACGCTCATCATTTTCACCATGTCCTACCTGTGCAGTTGGCTCCTTTTCGGGATGATCTGGTGGCTCATCGCGTTTGCGCACGGCGACTTGGACCAGTAGGGAGACGACTTTGTCCCGTGCGTAAAGGACATTCACTCCTTCTCCTCCGCTTTCCTCTTCTCAATAGAGGTCCAGGTGACCATCGGCTTCGGCGGCCGGATGGTCACAGAGGAGTGCGTCTCCGCCATCGTCGTCCTCATCGTGCAGAACATCGTCGGACTGCTCATCAACGCCATCATGCTCGGGTGCATCTTCATGAAAACCGCGCAGGCCAATCGACGCGCGGAGACGCTCATTTTCAGCAAGCACGCAGTCATCTCCGTCCGCAACAACAAGCTGTGCTTCATGATCCGCATCGGCGACCTGAGGAAGAGCATGATCATCAGCGCCACCGTGCGGCTGCAGGTGGTCAGGAGAAGCTCCACGGAGGAGGGCGAGGTTCTGCCTCTGGACCAGATCGACATCCACATGGATAACCCGGTGGGCACCAACGGCGTCTTCCTGGTGTCCCCCCTCATCATCTGCCACGTGATCGACAAGGACAGCCCCCTGTACGAGCTGTCCGCTGGTGACCTGCAGTACGACGACATCGAGGTGATCGCGGTGCTGGAAGGGGTGGTGGAGACCACGGGCATCACCACCCAGGCCAGGACCTCATACGTGTCGGAGGAGATCCTGTGGGGGCAGCGCTTCGTGCCGACCGTCTCCGCGGAGGACGGCATGTACGCCGTGGACTACTCCAAGTTCGGGAACACCACGAAGGTCCCCACGCCGTGCTGCAGCGCCAAAAAACTGGACGAGTCGGGCGGCATCGCGCGGCTTAAACTGAACGAGGGCGTCACCTTGCGGGCGACGGTGAGAAGGCGGCGCGGCTCCGCGGGGGTCCGCAGGTCAAAGAAGCAGCCCGAATGACGTCACGGTCCACGTCAGCCAATGACATTTTGTATAGTTGAGGAACGCGTGTTGTGGAGTATCACATGTGTGCATGTTTCCATTTAGGGTCACAGAATTGACCCAGAAGGAAAAGGAAGTGCAGTTTGGTTGCATCTGATCATTTTATTTCAATAATTATGAGTGTATGCATGTTTTATTATTCATGTGAAGGGGGGTGGGGGTGTTGTTTAGACCATATGATTTAAAAGACCTAAGATTTAGAATGCACTTCCATAAAGCATTAAAATACATACATTTCATTGTATGTCAACTAACACTGAAAACATTTTATAATGTAATGTTAGAAATTGACTTATACAGTCCTCATATAGTATATTAATACAAAGTGAAAACAAGCTAAACCCAAATGTCATATTATAGTACTTCATGAAAATAAAAATAGATCATGTAGCTGATAGAAATGTCAAAGATTGAATGAAAACGTAATACAGTATATTATACTATACATTTTATATGAAAATGACGTGGCCTCATTTTTTCTTTATATATGTACTCTTACAATGAGAATTTCTTTAGTGGCATACTGCATAATAATGTATTTTATGCCATTATTTCGGTTCTACTAATTACTTTAATGACATTTGTATGGCATATTATGCGTTGATATCTTAATGGCCTTATCATCAGAAGTGTTCTTCAGCTCCCCCCTCTCCTCTCCTTGATGTCAAGAGTAATTTAAATCACCGAGATGCAATTTAAGCCAACAGGAAGTGTCCTTGTACAGCGTCAGTTCTGCGTGACTAATATATGAAGATATACAGGTTGGGATTGTCGTTGCATCATGTTTTTCTTCATATTAGTCTTGTGCTTCCTATAACCTGTAGCAAATGAAAGACTAACATAAGAACTGAAATGAATTTTAAAAATCTGTATAAAATCACAAGTGATAAAAGTTTGTTAAGTTGAGTGTTCTGTTAAAAACGTGACAGTTTGGTTTTATTCTTCCTCAGGTAACGAATCGAAAAAAACTAAAGCCCTCTATAGTGAACTTCAAGTAGTCAAGTCACAATTTGTACGAGGCAGCACACAACAAGTTTGTTTCTTTCCTTTTAAATCATTTTCACAAACACATCGATACAAAAGACTCTGAAGCGAAGTGGCATTTCTCTCTTTTTATTAGATTATAATCTGCAGAGTTTAAAATATTAAATTGCTTTTAACTTAGTTAATAATTAAAATACATAAAAATGAGAGCCAGAACTGAAGAACCCTGCAAAATAAAAAAAATAAATAAAAAAGGAGAATAATGAACCCAATCCTCCTCGATACAAAGGCTATGTCTGAGAGAACCCACTTGTGATTCTTTGTACAGTAAAGTCCAAGCAGACTGTGCATTTTCTATACATGTGTAATGACACCATTATTGTTATTATTTCTGAACTAATTTTCCTCTGATAATCTTTTTTTTTTTAATCTAATTTTAAATGGGTCGGGTAAAAATAATAAACCAGGAGTGGAGAACTTGACTTAAGCACTGGCTGTTAAACAGCAGAGCAGCTCCACATCATCTCCTCCCACCCGTCACTCCCTCCGTGTGCGCCTCTCTGGGCCTGCAGACATTACCTCATGTCTTTGTCCTTCTGTGCTGCTGAAGTGGGTGTTGGTGGCGGTTCAAGTGGCTGCTGCTGTGCAGAGCACCGGCACACGACTCGGACTCATATTGGCACCAGTCCGTCTCGACTCGAATCCAATTTAAATATCCATCATACAATCTTTTATATTTCTATCTCTATCTCCCTGTTGCGGGTTAGCCTCTCTTCATGTTCGCTGCCCTCTACAGGTGGCCGCTGGGCCATGTGATTATGTGACTGTACTGTAGTTGAACACGCCCGACGTCGGCCCTAAAAAGGGATAAGCAGTCTGTGAACGAGAGAATCAAAACAAAAGAAAAGAGAGACTAACTCCTCTCTGGCAGCAGTGACATATTCTCTTAGGTCCTGAGTAGGAAGCGCTTCAAATCATCCCCTACATAAACAACCCAAACAGTGATTGGCTAGTATCGCCCCGTCAGGCAGTAACGTGGCTCCCTACTGGCCAGCGTGGTGGCCGTGCCCCCCCCCCCCCCCCCCCACCAAGCAGGAGGAGGAGGAGGGAAGGACAAGCCTGCAGGTGAGGAGAACATCTCTTCTCCTCACATTAACAACACTGTACAATAGCAGGTTGAAGCAAAGCAGAAACCCCTCCCTGTACTGTATGTTAGGTAGAGGACAGAAGGAGACTAAGGGGCCACACTGCACCCCCCCCCCCCCCTCAGCAAAAATGAAAACTGAATTAAACTTAAAAGAAAAACAGAAAAGGTGAAATAAAACAAAAAAAAGAAAAACAAACATACACATACTTTTAAATTGCAGAGGAGGTGGGAGGGATTTGCCTCTGGGAGGAATGCTCACGCCAATTCCTGCTGGCGTGACAAACCCCTCCCTGGCACCAAAGAGGGGGGTGGGGCAGGCTGTCTTGGCTTCTCGCATCTATCTTATCTTCACCCCCGGGCTGCTGTTCTCACCTCCCCCCGCTCATCTCTCCGTCACGTGGTTCTGTGAAGAAGGGGAGGGCGCGGGTGCGGGTGCGGGTGGCGGGGCGGGGGTGCAGAGGACCTCGGACAGGTCGTCCATGATGCAGGTCTCCTTGGGATCGACCAGGTTGAATTCCCTTACGAAAACGATGAAATGTGCGTACAGAGTGTTCAGGTGGCCCTGCAGCTCCAGAGCCACGGTCTCTTTAAAGTGCGCCCAGTAGAGGTGAGCCAGCACGTGGAACAGGTACCGGCAGATCTTCTTCACCAAGGACTCAAAGGAGTTGGGGAACTCTTTGCCTGGAGGGGGGAGAGAGGAGGAGAGACCGGGTTAAGCACAGGAGAGGGTAAGCTTCGTTTTGTTCAATTATTCTACATATTATCAAAAAAAGAAATCCTGTGAATCCTAAATGCTTGATTTACAATAGAACAAGCACACGTGTTTGTAATGGGGAAGTCAGCTTAAAAAAAAAGAAATAAAACAATATATATATTGGAAGGATGAAAACCTTTCTTTACAAACATCAAATAGAGAAATTATTTGAGTATTTAACTATTTTTCTACTTGCATCTTCCTTAATGTAATCACTAAGAGTTTGAACAACCCAAAAGCTGGTTGATCAATTGATCTTGACCCCCCCTCTCATTTACACCCTCCATCTGGAGCAGCAGGGGGCAGCAGCAGCTTCTAGGACACAGGAGACCTGCAGGGGGACACTCACCATATTTAGTAGGGAAGATTTCCTCGTCTGTGACCAGTTTCTGACAAAGACTCATCACAAAGTCGACGTACTGTGGAGCAGTGCACTTTGTCTTCTTCCCCCTCTCGTCATACCAGTAGTATATTCTAGAAAGAGAGACACAAGAGAAAACATGCCAAACGCCGTCATCACATGTGTGTCTCTCAAAACGGCGCGTCAGACGCATGGATCACAAACAGGATGCGATTACGCACCTGAGAGATGAGTTTTAATGAATCACAGTTAATGTTTCCTAACTAAATGCTTTGTGGTTGCAGTACGGGTTGCGCAGACAAAAACACCAGTGTTTCCTGGTAAACAAATGATTCATCCGAGCAGGAAGAGAAAGAAACATTCGAGACGAGCTGCGAGAGAGATTTCGCACAACAAAAAATAACGTACTGGCAGTGAGGCGACGTTCTGTCCGACAGTAACGAGTAATGGGCCAGTAACACTAGGAGCATCCTTTCTTCACAGAGGGCACACGGTCAAACCAAAAAACAAAGATGCAACCGGCTATAAAGAACCAGAGTAGAGTAAAGAATAGAGTGAGAACATGAATACCCATCTCACACACACACACACACACACACACACACACCTAAATAGCAACCAAATGGTTCCGTTCCCTCATGGAAACATTTTCTTCTTTAAGTAGTGCGAGCTGTGCCTCTGGGCAGGGGTACTGACGCTGCTGGTACTCAGGCAGTTTTTACCACAAGGGGGAAGGAGGGGAGGAGGGGGGGGCAGTTCCTGCACTGGCAGGAAAGGGTGGGGTGCCAAGCAGTGTGGAAGGTAAAGTCCTGAATGCTGTGCTTTCTCCTTAGAAAGAGTAATAACTTTGAGTCACACAAAAATGCACTAAACATGTTTAGTTGAATCCAGAACCGGGCAGAGAGACGGGACGCCTATTCGCCTACAGCAGCCCAACTTGCTTTCTCCGGCCGGGGGGGGGGGGGCGGCAGCAGTGGAAAATCCCCCGTTGACTGGGAGGTTAACTCGTGACAAGTTCGTCCACTTTCTCACCTGTTGCCTTGTTTTCACCGTTGTATTTTTAACCAGGGTGAGCGCATGAACTGCGCAGGTTTCTTAAGAGTGTCGATAATCAGGTTTTTCCAGACTTCAGTGTTCACAGGGGGAACGCCGGCCTCCTTCCAGAGACGAGGGTTCGCACATGGAGGCGACACCGCGCCCCGACAGGACAAACTAGTTGGATAAATGCCGACAGGCCGTCTGCTAACGTGGCAGCAATAGATCTCCACGGAAGGTTCATCCTCTCACAGCTCGTACTCTAGAGGTGTAACCGTACTTTATTGCACACGGTAGCCATGAAACACCCGTGTCTGTTGACTTCGGAAGGGTCAGACTACCCGGACGTGTGGTCCCGGGTTCCAGGCGGACCCCCTTTGGTAGTAGTTGCTCACTCCCCTCGGTCAATCATTGTGTGTGTGATGTTGATATAATGACTTTAGCAGAGATCGGGTAGCAGCAAGAAACACCGGTTTGACCGCAGGCGATGAAAGGAGGAGCTACACCACGTGTGCATCCAGCACGTCCTCAGGCTCTCACTGCTCATTGGTCAGATGTATTCGTAACGCAGCCGCACTGAATGAATGTGTCTGAATGAATCTACTCCATGTTTGTACATAAATCCTTGACCTCTGGGCTCACGACTCAAAAAATAGCAAATCATCTTCTACGCTAAATGATGTCATCAATGAGAAGGTTCAGTGGCGATGGGCTATTTCCTGACCAGTAAACCGGGTACTTTTACCAATAAAACCTTTTTGCTGTGTGTGTCTCATGATATGGTAATAATATACTCAAACTGCTGAAGCCTCCTGTACATTACAGTTCATTTTAGGACTTGAATATAAGTTACTCAATCATTTGAATATGCTCCAGTTCAGCTCAGACACACAAAAATGTGCCGTACAAGTGATGAATACATCGCTTGCTGCAGTAAACTGCGTACCGCTCACTCTAGGACGGCCGATGTGGGAAGCTGAGAGACCTAAATTAACCCGAGTGAACCCTGCGGGACGCGAGTCGTCCCTCGCTGACCGGTTGAAGCATCCATCGATGAATTAACCAATTTATGATAAATAAACCAGTGGGTCTCTGCATGTGAGTGATGAATAAACCAAAGGGGGTGGGGGGGGGAACTCACGTGTTGCAGGCATTCATGGCTTGACAGGTGTCCCCGGTGCAGAACTCTGAGATAGTGCTGTACTGCAGGTTGATAAGATTGAAGAATGTTGTCGCTGTGGCAAAAAGAAGACGGATTTCAGACACGTGTCATACATATATACAACCAAATACGTTTATATGCCTGAAGGATGGGGGTAAATAATATACTGCCAGAATATAAAAGAGGACACTTTCTCCGTTGGATGACCGGGCCGCACACACACACACGCTACAGCACCGCCACAAGCACACGGTAATGCAGTGTACAGCATGAGAGCATCACAGACATGTGATGATGGGAGGAGTTTGAACCTTTTAACCGGTATTTCTGCTTTCAAAGGAAAGTCCTACACAACCTGCTAAACTGCAAAAACAAAAAGGATTAGATTCTTTTTTAGTAATAATTGTTGCTTCTGCACTGAAACTAGTGCTTTTGGTTTACATATGTGGGGGGGGGGGGGGTTCCAGTGATTAATGATTTGGTTAAGCTATTTAATAAAAATCCTGCTCAGACTTTTTATGTCTGTACACACATTAACCGGTGAAAACACGCCCCATCTGTTTTCTATCAGCCTAAAGTAAATGGAAAAGAATTTTTCCTTTCCTCGCTGGTCTGGTTTGGATGCGTAACCGAAACAAGTTCAGGGCGACGGGGGAAAATAGTGCCACAACAGAGACCTCCTCCATCCATCAGGCGAGCTCACAGAACCCCAGAGACCACGCTCCTAATGACAAGTATCAATTTTAAAGAGTTAAAACACTGCAATAAGGGCCGGCAGTAAACTACGGTGTTTAAAGTAGCGGCGTGCGGTGTCGTTGGGAAGGAGCCAAACGCTGCGCGGGGTCTGGATCCTATCAAGGGCTTGGCTCGCTCGAAATGTGTATATATATCATATGAAAACCAGGCTTCCTAGCGACAGCAGCGGTTTGCGTTCTCTGATACCGTCCTCAGCTCTGCCTGGAGGACGGCTGTCTTTGTCCCGTGCTGCAGGTACTCACTGTTGCTGGCCAGCCATTCGTTGAGGTCTATCTCTCTGGGCAGCACCACCAGCTCCTTGAGGTCAAAATCCACCACACGGATTTTTGTGTACTCGAGTTCCAGGTACTGCTTCTTCTCTTCAGGCGGGGGCTTCTTTCCATTTGGCTTCGTCTTTGACTTCCTGCAGGAGGAAAAAAAAAGAGAAGAAGAAGGACGGGTCAAAGAGCTGTAAAGGGCAATAACAGATTAAGGAAGCAGAAGTTCTCAACAGAGGGTTTCTACGTGACTTCACTGTATAGAAGCTAACCACGACATTTGCGTAGCTTGACTGCTGTGCCAACGCTGAACGCAGAGTAATAACAAGCACATGTTGGTTCAGCAGTAAAAAAAAAAAACACTTGATGAAGCGGGACGCCCGCGAAGGTCAAACGCTTAAAATGCACTGGGAATCGACTGTGCGATGACGACGGAGTCGCTTAACTTCCTGCCCCCCAAGCAACGACTTGCAGCACCCTAAAGAGACCAAACGAAGTAGGAGCTCAGTGTCTGGGCCTGACCCCTGACCATAGGTCTATAGCTTCTACACAGACGTCCCTCGCCGGCGACTTGTACCTCCACTGCCAGTTTTAGCACGGGGATGTCCTATCACACACTTCCTGCACTTCCAGGGCTGTAACCCCCTCCCCTTCTCTGTCTGCACCAGTGCAATCTGGGGTCAAAGGTTGAACGCGTTGATACGTAAGTGAGACAGTAGTAGAGGCCCGGCTGTCTGGAACAATCAGGAGCTGATCGCTCTGGGTTTGTTCGAGGTCGAAGGAGTTTCAGTTTTGCTCCCGGAATTTTTCCACCCGTCGTCTTGCGGACCCCCTCCCTCGATCTCCAGTTCCCACCGCCCCTCGCTGCAACACCCTCTGTGTAAATACAATGGTGGAGCAATGTGTTCTTGGCGCTCGCTCACCCCCCATTTCCTTCCCGGTCACACTCCCAGAAGACTCCCGGTCCGAGAACAGAGCACAAAAAGCCTTCTCACTTTCCATTTGGGCTCCTCTTTCCTGGAAAGGAGCGACGGCCGGTGCACATTCAGCTGTGAGAAATGGCTTCAAGGTGGATGACACAGAGGACAGAAGGGGGGAGGCTGCGAGGGAAGGGAATGGGTGAGAGGAGGGAGAACAGCTGAAACAAACATGACGAGGCCTCAGCCCCCCCCAAAGCGTTTTCCACCTCAGCAAACATGGGAAGGCATGTCAACATGTGGACGCACTCGGAGCCAGCAACCGTTTACTTTGTAAATGTTTAGGTTTCCCCCCTCTGTATGTGCGCCGTCGTCTCGTTCCGCTGTGGGAACCGGCGTGATCTGAAGGGGGCCGACGGTTGCGCGGACACACGCGACACCGCGCTGGTTCTCATTGGCTCGGTAATGATTCACCGGGGTGATGATACCCCGTCATGTGAGAGAGCTTTACCAGAGGATGGAGCTACATCCAGACACCTCCAGCTCTGCTAAGCCCTTCTGAAGTGAAAAAAATGGGTCAAATCAGTTCTTCTACCTCCCCCTCTCTCCCCTCCTGTTGAAAACATTCCGTTTCATTTCCTTAGAAATGTCATCGTTTTCCATTAAACGCCTCCTCCACCTATCGTAAACATTGGTGTGGTAAGGGGGAGGTGAAATTCTGGAGCCATTGGTTTATTTTAGGATAAAGAAAACTTCCTCTGTGCCAGCGCTGCTCCCCTCATACGTACATAGTCACACACACACACACACACATACACATACACACACACAGCTTTTTCTGTTCTTCGTGAAGTTTTCTCAGGCCAGTCTTTGCCATAAAAGGCAGCAGATACCTCTCTCTCTCTCTCTCTCTCGATCAGGGCGGGCTAGAAAGCAGGGGTGGAGGGGCAGTGGGTGAAGGGTCAACGGGACCCGTCTGGGACACAGACTCGCCATCCAGGAGACCCGGATAGGCGAAATGACTCCAGGCCAGAGTTTGAAGCAGGAAGACCAACATGTTTCAATGAGGAAACGGGGTCGTACAGTCGGAGTGACTGACCTCACAGCTGCTCAACTCCCGTCTGCTAGACATACTCTCTTATCCCTTTTCTGCGCCGCCCCCCCTCTGCTGTCTTCACCCGCTACCTTCCCTCCCAAACTAACACGTTTTAATACGCATCTCTACAGTTGTGCCCCCTTCTTGTTTCCAGGGCCGACCCAGCTGGTCACAACAGCTGCGCCTAGAGCGGGATCCCACCACGGTCCGGACGCGCGTGTGTCCCGCAATCCCTCGTGTGTCCACGCAACCCGTCAGACGTACATCTGTTTGGCCTCACGCGGGCGCACAGGTCAGCCGCCGTATGTGCGCTCGAAGATCGGCAAATAGACTTTGTGTGAGGAGAACTCCGGCGGGTACATGAAGCCCGCTCCGTTACGAGGACCTGGCTCAAATGAATCCCGGAATCACTCGGGGCAACATTGCACAACATCCCTCCGCTGGAGAAAACCGTTTCAGTACTTTGGAACACAATGTTGCGCAACTGCTGCTTGAGCCGGCATCCTACATGACTTTATTGCCATGTAGGATGCCACCGTCTATAGCGCAGGACACACAAACCAAGGTGCCAATATATTACTACTGTTTACTTTAAACTGTGAAACAGCCGGTGTGTACGATAAGGATATGAGCACCAAGGAGAAAGAATTCTGACTGAACTTTAACACCTGAGGGGTCAGAGAATAAATCAATCACATTTCAGACAGCGGCTCCCTGCAGTAAAACATCAATAGCAAGAAGTGATCGCTGCTAATCGCGGCCAACAAGACCGGACGGAATGAACTCCGCTATTTTGGAAAAAGAGCAGCTTCAGCGAGGAGGATCGCTTTTCTCCAAGCCTGGCCTCCGAACCTATTTCAGGATTCAAATTAAACAGTCAATAGCGCTTTCTCCCCCCCCCAAAACCCCTCCCCCACAGACAGGAGCGGAGGCAGTCTGAGCACACCGAAGCCACACCACAGCAGCCACCACGGGGCTGAAAAGAGGCCGAGTCGAGGACGGACTGAGCCAGAAGATGTCTACACACTGCTGCATCCGCTCCGTCAAACTCCTTCCTGGTCCATTTTCTGTATTTCTTAAAATAAGAATTTTCGGATTCATAAATACTTGCAGTGATTACGTCAGTAACAGTGGGGTTCAGTTCTGCAGTACGGCGATAAGAGGGAATGAAGAATGCACAGCACTGCCACCACTTAAACAGTAGCATCAATGGGGGCGTCAGCAGCACTGTAAATCCGTAAATGAGAATGGGAGCCAGGGGGGGGGGGGCTTCACTTAACACTCAAACTGTTTCATTTTACATTTCAAACAATTGGAGCTCTGGTTTGAATGAATTTCCTGTTTTCTTTGCTTAAGCCAAATCGTTAGTTAGGCGCTTAAATTATGCATTAGACGCGATGGAGGGACAAGGTCACGTTTGTGTGGCCGAGGACCAGAGAGCAGGACAAAATAAATAAATAAACACACGGGTGGAGAAAGCAGCGTTAGACCCCAGACACCAAACAGGTAAAAACGTTACGTCGACAACGCGGCTCCATCGGTACCGCAAACATACAGAACAGTGTTTGAAAATAATGTCACAACTCAGATACAAATACGAACAAACGGGTTTTACCGGAGGACTTTTCCGACGGCCTGGAGCACCATCTTGCAACTTAGTCCGTTTTTGGAGTTTCTCTGAGAGTGCATGTCCGCCTTATCTCCAGAAAATGAGCAATAATCTCCGACCATAGTTTATTTAAAAACGTGAAACGGTCTCCGCCGGGTATTCAGAGCAGTCCGAGCCTCACCGCGGGCGGCTTTGTCTGAAGCGCTCAACTCACTCGCTCCTCCGGCAGAGGGGACAACTTTGGCCAAGTTTACAAAGAGGGCCGCCTTCAGTCCGCGCTCGTCCAATCAGCGAACGGGGGAGAGCTCGGTGGGCGGGGCGTGGTGACGTCAATGCCCATGCGGACGTAGTTAGTTCATTTTCCCCAAAGTGTAGTTACAATGTAGCAACAGGTGAAAGGCGAGCAGCAGCGGACTACAAAGGAATAATAGTTAAAAAACGTGTTACTACAATGTATGTGGCTGCTAGAAGCAGAAGTAGAACATGTTAATGTCAGCGTGACTTTTACAGGACAAAAAGTAAACGTGTAGAACAGTGCAGAAGAGATGAAACATCACTTCCGCTGTATTGGTTTGCCGGGACTTATTGCCCCATGATGCAGCTTTGACCCCTGGTGGGTCTTTAAAAGTCATGGGTTACGTAATGATCTCGTCACTGCAAATGCACATTATGAAAATTGCGAAATGTGGTTGAAAGCAGCTGGAGGCCTAAGTGGACATTGAGTTAAAGATCATTTTGTCAAATCTTATTTTCACTCTGATAGAAAAGAGAAGAAATATGATGGAAGTACGGCCATTTAAACTAAAAAATAAAACAAACCTGTAAAAACAGGGAGAAGCAGAGGTTTCCCGCTACAAAAAAAATTTTAAAGTGTGAAAAGAGAGCACGCAGGGACTGTTGAGCAACATTCTTCACGTTGATTCTGTAACTTTGCCTCGCTGGCAGCGGTCACGTCGTGTTCAAACATGTCGGGCTGAGGAACCAGTGAAGGAATCAAACTAACCCTTTGGGAGCCAGAGAGGGATCCTAAGGAGTATGTTGAGTGATTGTAACAAACATTTTAAAAGCGTAATATTATGGAGATGGGTTGAAGTGCGCAATTCAAATTCAAATCAAAGTGCCAACAGGACGCCGAGACAAAAGCACTCAGGCAGCGTACGAACTTGAGGAAACGAACAATGTCGAGTGTCACACAACGCGATCACATAAGTGTCACGGAAACATCATTCCGTCTCCCCCCCTAATTATTGCCTCTCAAACGTGCTTATTTTCTTCTCCAGTGCACTCTTCACACATTTTTCCTCCCTGTCTGGCTTTGTTTGCCCTCTCACTGAAAGAGTCGGTGGAGCGGCTGGAATACGGACGCCATGCGGGCGTAGTGTCTACGGCAGGTGGACCCTCAGGAGGCGCCGCTTGTTTACCTTTCAGACATAATCCGGAGAAACTCTCTGAAAGAGTCAAACGGAGCAGAGGGCTGGCGCCACTCCCGCACCCTACATCAGAGACCCTCACCGCACTAGTGTG